ACCGGACGGACGAACGAACAAACAAACGAACGAACGAACAAACGAGCGAACGAAAAAACAAACAATCAAACAAACAATCAAACAAACAAGCAAACAAACACACAATCAAACAAACAAGCAAACAAGCAAACAAATGAATGCACGTTGAGAGACACTTCCTCATGCAAAATCAACGGCATACTGGAAATTTGAATTCGCTATTTCCCCATGCCTTTTTCACATCAATGCCATTCTATCCCTGGGATGAGCAGAAAAAAAAAGACAACCAACCAACCAACCAAACAAACAAACAAACAAACAAACGAATGAATGAACGAACGAACGAACGAACAAACGAATGAACGAACGAATGAACAAACGAACGAGCGAACGAAAAAACAAACAAACAAACAAACAAACAAACAATCAAACAAACAAGCAAACAAGCAAACAAATGAACGTACGTTGAGAGACACTTCCTCATGGAAAATCAACGGCATACTGGAAATTTTGAATTCGCTATTTCCCCATGCCTTTGTCTTCACATCAATGCCATTCTATCCCTGGGACATTCTCTGTGTTCAGTGTGCCGACAAGACGTGTCCTGCATTCCGAACTTGTCTCTGAAAAGAGTTGTTCATAAACCAGAGGGTATGTTGAAATGACACATATTCATTCATACATGCTTTCCAAAAGAGTAAATGGGTTGTGTGGGGAGAGAGGAGTACTGGTGTATCAAAGCCGGGAGCGATGTAGGTGTATTTCAAAATTTCAATGCTACTTAACTGGAAGATATGATACGGCATAAGGCCCTTCCCAGGTTTCCCCTCTGAGGTGTTGACAATCTCAGTGCGTAGTTGAGCCAGTGCATTATACACTTTTGCTGAAAGTGCCTGCCAAGGTTTGAGACGAAGGAAAATGACAAAAAGTCACATCGACACTGTCAGACAGTTGAACAGCAAGAAAGCAATCAACCAAACCAACTAGCCGACCAAACTAAACCGAAGTACCAGCCAAACAAAACCAATCAAGGAGCGTGAGCGCTAACAAAACCAAACCAACCAGCCAACCAACAAACTAAACCAACAACCACCACATAAACCAACCAACCAACCAACCAACCAACCAACCAACAGAACCAGCCAACCAACCACTACCCAAACAGAATCAAAACCAATTAAACCAAACAACCAAACAATCAAACAAACCGAATCAAAACAAACTAAATCAACCAGCCAACTGAGCCTCAAACAACCGTCACCCAAACAAACCAACAAAAAGCAAACAAACTAAACCAAGCAACAGACTACCGAAACAACGCAACAAACCAACCGAGAGGTAAACCCAACAACCCAACAACCCAACAAACCAACAGACCAATCAATTCAATCAAACTGAATTCTATCTGTCTTATGGTTGTTATCATGTCGCCATAAGGCCCAACGAACACATACTAATGGACTTGCGGCCACGAAGTGGGAGACTGGAGCTTGAGTGGGAAGCCCAAACAAAAACGCAAAACAGATGAAAGAACACATGCACAGACCACAACAATCCACCAACCCAACAACCCAACAACCCAACAAACCAACAATGTTGGCCATGCAGCTTTGGAAGGAAGTTAATTCCCCAATGCACACATCAGCAGAACCATAGACAATGTTGCACATGGTTCCCCATGTGTGCATGGTTGAGCAAATGATGACAAACAGATCAATCCACAAAAAGAGCAATCACACTCTGCTGCTAGGACATGCCTAGCAGTCTGTTCATGAGAAACGGACCATCACTCCCCTGCACGGCATAACACAGCTTGGGCTCTATTCCTCTTTCTCCGCTACTTGTACTAGCTCCTGCCTCTTCCTGCCCCTCCCTATCTTTTGCTGGTCATCATGATTACTGTATGCTTGGCAAGACACAATGGTGCTGTAGAGGCCGCACAGTCTTTCTTATTTGAGCAGAGGCCCTACTAATCCCATAGGTAAAACTGTGCATGTTGGCTGCGGCCAGTGTGGGAAACCCTTCATATGTGTTTTGATTAACCAGGGCTCCAGAGAGTTCATCCCCAAATGCGTGCTGGTGCTTCAATACAACTGCGTGGACCAAAATCATATCATCAGTCAAATCCAACAGACAGTTCTTCCTGCATGGGCCGCTGAGTGGGAAAGTATTCCATCATGCTACATGAGAGGGAGCGGACAGAGAACTGCACCGGGAGAGCAACAGAGTGTGGACAATGAACTGCGAGCAGCGTATAAAGGAGTACAACACAAGCTTCTCCACTTCAGCAGGAAAGAGAGAGTGACTGGCCCGCTATTGCAGGGGGCAAGGAAGAGTAAACTGCGGGGGAAAGCAAACGTTCCATGAGGTAACACAAGTGATAAGTTGACGCCTGAGCACCTACTACTAAGGATTGCTTATTGAGGCGATATTCATCAAGCTCATCAGCAAATCTAGATGCATTCCTATCTGATCCAAGGCCCGTCTTCCGTGTCAGAATAGTCATGACCTGATAAAACATCCCTGACAATTGAGCATATCTTTTTTCGCCTCATCAAAGGAACCAAATAACCTGGCATTTGCTACCCTGCCCACACCCTGCCACCGAAAAGGGAAAAGAAACCGATGAAGAAAATCACTAACCCCACGTAGACCATTGTCAGAACTTCATAGAGGTGCGGTAAGCAGTACTAGCCACTCAAAGTTTTCTCAACTGCCGTCTTTTGCCACTCTTCTCAAATCTTCTCTTACCAGTGGATGGGAAACCCATAGGTGTTCAGTGCGTCTGCCAGGTTTATGAAGCAAACAGGCTTCCACTGTAACATACCTGATTGACAGGAGTAGGTGGTGCTGCCATTGTGTTCACAGGTGTGTCAGTAGGCAGTGGAGAACCTCCCAATGACTGTCGTGATGACGCAGCTGGAGAATTGATTGGTTTCTTCAGAGTAGGTGTTGAAAGCTCGCCCTTCTTCACAGGCAATCTGTAAAATATATGTCATGCCACAAGGAGCGGGACAAGCAGGAGAAGGCAAGAGACAGCAAGCGAGGAGGTAGCAGAGGAGAGACCTCCGACAGACAGACAAACAGACAGGCACATGCAACGGCAAACAGGCATAGGCATGCAGACAAACACACACGCAGAGTTAAAAGGCAAGGAGAAAACGTAGGAGAGAATGTGTCTTGCCCCCACTTATTTCTAGGTACACACTAGTTTTCACATAGACCGGTGGTGGAATGAGACCCATACTGAAGGACAAGCGCACAGAAAAGCAACACGAACAGAAAATGTAAAAGTGGTAGCGTGGGCAGTTGACTAGGGCCGCAAGGGTAAAGCCGAGTTTAAGCCTTTTCTTTTCCCCCTTACGCTCTCTGTCCAACTTCTATGCTGTGGAAACATGCTTGCCAGTGATAAGCAACCGGACTGATGGCAGATGGGATCGAAACAAATAAATGGCCTGTAAGAGATGCATGTCCTGCATGATGTAGCAGAAGCAGTAGCCCACGTCAGAGGTAAGTCATCGCCAGATCAAGGCTCTGCAGCAGTATTGTCGACAAGTGCCACACATGCCACTGAAAGAAAAAGGAAAGTTGGCATGAGCATAGGACTTCCTATGAGCAATTTCAACATAGTCAAAACTGGTCTCTTTTTTTCGAAGGGTAACAGCCTTGAGGTTGAGGTATCATGATCGAAGAACTGACAGTCCAGCAAGTCACTCACTCTAGCTTTTTATAGCAACTCAGCTCTGTGGGGTTCCAGCCAATGATTTAGGAGACTGCCCAGAATAGTCTTTCCTATTCTAGAATAGTGTTTCCTGTTCCTAAGGATATAGCCTGAAAACAAGGAGCTTCACAAATAGCTGTAAGAATCTGGATGGGTGTGTTGTATGCCTGGGGTGCAGTTCTACCAGGGAACAGGATTGGATTAAGCGCCTAAATGTGGATGCGTTTTTAACTTTTTATGCAGATCAATCATGATTTTCTGCACTTCTTCACAAACATGTCCAGATTCAGGCGTTACATCCAATCCTCTTCGCTCGTGGGCCCTCGCCCCTGAGATTCTGCCGCGATTTCTGAGAACCAAAAGAACAGCTCTGTTCTATTTTTAAGAACCCTGCTGTAGCCAGCCCAGGTCGCTGAATGGTACGCATCATACTTGCGGCGCATCGCGATGCGCTGCACTGCGCACGTGCGCCGCACAGCGCATCCCGCACGACGCGCGCGCACTGCATGCGGCGCACCTAAAAA